TCAATTTGTTCAAAATTATCTTCGGCGCGTGTTAAGTAAATGAAGTAAGGTGCTCAGGATGATGTTTGGACCTAGGAGGGATGAAGTAAGTGGGGGAATTTAGAATATTGCATACCGAGGAGTTGCGTGAATTGTACAGGTCACCTTGCATAGTGAGGACAGTGAAATCTTGGAGGCTCCGATGGGCTGGCCATGTGACACGCATGGGGGAGGAGGAAAGGGGTGCATACAGGATTTTAGTACGGAATACTTCTGGAAAACGACCACTGAACAGACCAAGAAGGAGGTAGGATACTATCAAGATGGATATTATGGAGGTGGGCTGTGAGGATGGTAAATAGATGGAGTTAGATCAGGATCGTGGCCGATTGCGGGCTTTGTGTTAATTTAATTGTGGAAATTTAAGTATCTAAATTGGAAATGGGATTGCTCACTTTCACGATATTCATTCTCTCCTGGTGAAAATTTCCTCGCCCAAATGGTTAAAACCCACAGTCATTACATTAATTAAAACTCATTGGTTAGCCATTACAATCTGCCCTGCCAAGTCCAATGCACAAATGACATACGGAAAGGGGCGAGATACTGCTCACGGAAATTTCCCCTCACGTCCACAGGCGCCAGTCAGTACTCCACGAAATTTTAGCGTCTTAATGACAAGCTTACATTAAGAAGGCTACAAAAATGTAAAACCCCAGTCTTCAGCCATCTCCTTAAACAGGGTTGATGGCCAAATGTCCAGTTTACGTCCATCTTGGTTGTCTGCCAGGAATCGAATAGCACATCGGTTCCTTCAGTAACAACTCCAATTATTTACAAAAACAAAACGATTCATAAACTGTTCAAATACATACCGAAAGTGATGATGGAATCGAACGGACAGTAACGCACTTTTTGGGATGCACGGCGCCCGCCTCGGAGCAGGGGGTGTGTGTGTGTGTGTGTGTGTGTGTGTGTGCTCCTTTGCGGATATATACGAGGTGAAAGTAGAAGGCGCATGGGTTTTGCGCATGCCAGTGGCCTTGATTCGACTAGTGGGGGGCCTTTGGACGGATTTGAATAAAACTGGTAAGACTTTACGACAATGGCGTACACTGGATGGGGCACAGCCCCCCCCCCCTGTAGGGCCGAGTCCCAACAGCGGCGGTGGTACGAGTCTTACTGAAGGTCAGGGTAGTTGCGGTTAGTTTCAGACAGGTTGTGTTAGATCAGGGAAGTTTAGTTGGGTTAGGTTATAATATCGTACACTGATTGCGCTGGGATGCATGAGGCTGAGATGGTTGAGGGTAGCTCAGACATTTAGAATTCGACATTTGCAAAGAATGCATCTTACACGAGCGGTCTTCTGGAAACGTCAGATTTAAGCGTAGAAAGCATAAGGAATACTCGGATATTTTATCGTTGTCTGAAAACGAGTTCAATCTAGTCTCTAGTCCTCAGCGTACAGGGCGAGAAGGCCTAGACTTCGCAAGTGATTGTGCGCATGCGCACTACATACAGACCTTGGACTGAACTGCGTTTATAGGACAGCTGCGGTTAATACGACAGCTCCTTTACCACTGTTTCCTTCCTCTCACTATTTACTCACTAGCAGCACATTCGTCGCTCAAAAACATGCGACTGTTAAATAAACTACGACTGAAGAATTCATAACTGAACGCGGATTTTCCTCTCAAAAATTTCATATCCTGAGGTTGAAGCAATTATAACGCTTACGTATTTTCGTATATTTCTGTTTTTACTTTACTGAAAATCGACACGTTTGAACAAATAAAACACAAGATAAAACAATGAAATGGCTGCTGTTGTGGGACAAATAAGAATAAATACTTTTATTAATTATTGGCTTTCAAATAACCGCTGCAGACCTTGATGAAACCTCGCAAGGAGATTCCCCTTTCGTCATAGACGTTATTAGTATCTAAGCTTAGCACTTATTTTCCCTTCGCGTGTGTGGGGTGGGGGGGTGTTCTCAGATTCAAAAATCGGCCAGAAGGTGGTCCCTCTTGTCAGGTTTTCGTTTTTCTCAGTTTCTTTACGCAAATGTCTAGATAGTACGTTAATCAGGCTATGACCGCTTCATTACACATTCTTTCCGGTTAATTATTGATAATCCGACGCTGTATTATCTGAGCTGCTGAAAGATTCTCTAATTACCCGAATCTCGCGGTGATTAAAGGCAAAGCTTTCGTGTCAATGCCGACAGGATTGTTGAACTTTCCGCGTGATATACGAGGCTCGTCCACAAAGTAATTCAGTCCGTACCGCGAAGACAACACTACACCTCACCATTACGAAAATCAGCTGGTTAACCCTTTGAAGCCGAAGCTCGTCTTCATAATATTTACGAATCCAGACCGTACCGCGAAGAAAACACTTCACTGAACCATTAGAAGTCGAATCAGGCGGTACCACATAAGATTTAACAAAAGAACATCCCGGTCACAGCCTTAATAAGAAATCTGAGCGCAAAGAACCCGGTACATGTAGAGTGGGACAGGCGGTCTCCGCCCCATCACTGGGGAAAGAAAGCGATTCTGAATACCACACTAGCTCGATGGTCAATCACAAATTCATCGTTGCCAACTGAATGATAACACGGATGACTACTCCTCGCTCTCATTAGCAGACTGCGTGCTCTTTACACAGAAGCAAACATTACACATTCTCTTCTGAATATTAAGATCTGCATCCATTTTCAATAGTTTTTGGAATGAATTCTACAGGGTCCTTTTCACACACGTAGTTAATAATAAACGTGTGCACAAATTTAATCAGTTATTTGTGCGGACACAACATAATCACTAAAAGAAACAAATGTGGAGATTTCGCGATTAGAACTCACAAACATAACCTTCAATTCACCTTTAGCAAAGCTACGTCCTCCTTCCGCTCCATGATTTCATTAGAATTCATCATACGACTCAGGGAGGTCATCAGCATTAATCCACGTTTTCTTCAGATTATGCAAACATGTTGGTGTCTTTGATTGTAATTAATGGAAGACAGACAAAAGCCACAAGCGGATGAATACAAGGAAATTATTAGAATTATGACGTCACGTTGCATCACTTCCTGTTTGGGGCTGAACACAGTATGATTTAGGAATTGTAACAAACTATGTAGTACTTTATTATCAAACGTTGTTCTTCTGTTGAATAATTCACGAGGCAGTGAATGGAAGTCTGCTCCGTCAATGAAGACAAATACCTTCTGGACTGTTACGTCATGTAGTCATCAGACGCCGGTAAACGTATACCAGACGTATTCATACTCGCTCCCGCTATGACAACCTCACATCTCACTGTTCCGTCAAGCACTGCGACATTTTATAAAACAAGTAAACACTTCTGACAGTCACTTGTTTTATCTTTAACCGAGAAGTTCGCAGTGCTGAATCCTTTGACAGATGACAGTCGAAAGTTGAACGATACTGCGTATATAAAACGGCGTCACGTGTCTTATGGACAGCGTAACAAGGTTTCCTCTTAAAAAAAAAAAAGCGTGTTGGTGTAAGCTACTGCACGTCACTCAGTGCAGCCCACAGGATGCATTTAAACTGTGAAGTTGCGACCCTGAAACTTCATTGCAGAAAAAGGACGACGTGAAAACATCGAACATATTTCGTCTTTCTCTAGAAAAGAGGGCAACATATCGACATTTTGAACTATTACTGCAAGTGGTCGACGAAAGATAAATCCCTTGTTAGAATTCTTTAATAAGAAACGTTTCCTGTTGAGAATTCTCTGCCACATTCATGTTCTCATCGTGCCGAGTATGAGAAGGCTTTCTTCTGCTACAAGTTGGCCGGTGTTTCAGAGGTACTTACTGCCCCCATCATCAGCTCGATGGCTCCTCTAAAGCAGTGGTATTCAACCTGGGGTACGCGTACCCCCGGGGGTACGCGAAGACATCTTAGGGGGTACGTGATATTTAAAAAGAAAAATATCATTTTACGATAAACACTGAATAATCAGTAATGTAATTTATTTAATTTACTTTAGATGTAGATTATATACTATGTATAACTTGAATTATACACCAACGACTTTGGGGGTACAAAGTTGAAGAAAA